GTAAAGGGACGCTCAACTGATTGCACAGTCAGGTTTTGAAGTTAATGTTTGCTGTGTAGACGCGTTTACCAATACTCAAGATGAAACTGACAATGACAATTTTCCTTCTTTTCGTCATTATTTCGGCATCGGGTAAGTTGACACATTCTTTTTGGTTACATATTTATGCTTTTATAATATGAGTAATGTAGCCCCACTTGACGTATTATTGTACTGAATACCCAGTATTTTCCCAAATACAGTACTTGCGAAAAAAATGTGTATGTTTTCTTATCCTTTAAAACACGGTCCCTTTATGTGATTCAGAATTTAAACTTTAATTTTACAAAAATTCAAATACATAAGTCAAGTAAATTAACGAGCGTGCTATAGCGTTTTAGATATAATTAATGAAAAATACAGCTTTCTTGTGACCAAATTTGGTACAACTCTACATTGTCCGATAAAACACAAAATTCTGCAATCTCAGTCCCGTAATCTCTGTGTGATATTGGAAAATCCCTCACTTTCCACTAACATATCATTTCCACCTGCAAATCAGCTAATTACTATCTTCGAAATAATTCACCAAATCAGACAGTACCTTGACAAAAACTCGACTGAAACGCTTGTTCATGCTTTTATTTTAACAAAACTCGATTACTGCAATTCCCTTATTTTTTTTCCGGCTGCCTTTTTCTCCTTGACGGCTTCAAAAATTACAAAATTCTAACACCACGCCGTCATCATATTACTCCCATAATCTTGGCCCTTCATTGGCTCCCCGTTAAACAACGAATTGTTTTCAATATCCTTATTTTAAATTATAAAGCTTTATTATTTTCTCGTCCATATTATATCACTCAAGTAGTTCCTCGATATGTTCCACCTCGCCGCCTTCGTTCTTCTGACAAATCATTTCTATCTGTTAATTGTTTTCGTACTAAGATTTACGGTGGTCGTACTTTTTCTTGTGCTGTATGTTCTCTTTAGAACAAACCTCTCTTGATTCAAAGGGTACTGAATACAAATGTTTGGTTGATTGATTGATTTATTAAATGATTGATTGATTGGTTGATTGATTAATTGATTGATGATTCTACATGCATTAAGGTACATACACACAGAATCCGACGGATTATGTGTAAATGTACCTTAATGCATGTAGAATCATGTAAATTAATCAATTAATCAATTAAACATTTGTATTGCGTCATTTCCAAAAATGATCAAAGGCGCTGAAGCAAGCTAGCTCAAGCCCAATGAATAGATCTTAAAGGTAGTATTATTGCTAACCTGGTATAAAACCTACATGTGGTTTTAGCTTATTACATTAGTATTAAAATATGTTAAAGTGGTTTAGTGTTTCAAATTATATATTAATTTAGTATAATTATTATTATAAATATATAATTAACCTCCATTCAAAATTAGTTTAATATATAGAGCCTATGATTAAATAATAACTATAGAAGCGGAAATGAAATATGAACTTGTTTATGCTGTATGGAATGTCTTTTTAAAATAACGTTAAAACAGATGAATATTAAAAATTACGTATTATAGAAATAACATTAAAAATCTTAATAAGTTTGGGTGTTTTTACCTAATTGCTTTCAATGTTATTTGGTTATTTTAAATTATAAAATGTGTATCTTATTGTAACATTTTGCTCAAATATATTTATTGTCCTTATTTTTCTCCCTTTTGACCTACACCAATTATACATCAGTATATTATTGACTTCCCTTTTTATGTGACAGGCCCCAGTGTAGGATTAATTGCCAGGCCCTTTTGCAATAAAAGAATTCCATAAAGTTCCCGAAAATTCATCCACTGGTATGTAAAATAAAAAAAATATAATTTAATTTTAAAATACTTATTCAGGTGAAAAAATTTATGAATTCATTGTTCTTATTGCAGGTGCTATGGTAGAGAAGGAGAAGCGTCGTCCAACATGCGAAGAAAAATGTCACAAAAATGATTTGTGTATAAAGATGTGTAAAGGTAACAGTTAAAAATGTAGGCATATGGAAAATTTGTGGAGGAACGGGGAATTATTAATTACAAAATTGAATATAGACCAACGAGGACGAAAGTTACACATCAATTTTTACAAAATCGTTATATACAATGCGATATTACAAATATGCAAAGAAATTCGCATTTAGAACAATAATAATAATAATAATAATAATAATAATAATAAAAACTTGTAATGTGTCCGATGTCAGGATTTTGATATATATATACTGTCTCTTATACACATCTAGATGTGTATAAGAGACAGTCAATATATACGTAAAGAGGTGTTGCCAATTCAATTACAGCAAAGCGTTTTGAAAGCATAGACCTGCCTGAAGTGAAAGAGAAGCGAACTTTACCAAATTGCCTCAGCATATGTGGTCGTGATGCTGCTTGTATTGATGCACATCTATCATCAGGAAGATGTAAACTCTAAAGACAGTTTGCGAAAATCTGTAAGTTGTAATTGCAATTAAACTGTAGCATAATATATTCATGTTTATGATACACATCTAAAAAGAAATAATCATTATCACTATCATCATCATAGCCATGATCATCACTATCATCATATCAACATCACAATCACCATTAAAAACAACATCATAATCATCATATCATCATTACCATCAACATATCATTATCATTATTATTATCATAACATAATCAACGCATCATCATCATTATCATCATCCTCTCAAAATCATTATCAGCCTATTCTGATTATATTCCATTAAGTCATCCCGGCTTTCTTTGCCAACTTCATTTGTGAAAAGCATTAAAACAGTCTAAAATTAAAGCCAGGATATGTTGTTGAAATGAATACTCTAATAAGCAATTGTTTAGTTCTTATGAAACAGCGTGGAGCATTTAAACTCAAAGCTCCACTCAGTGATGTCTCGTTTCAGGTGACACGTTCAAAAGCTAAACGTGTTTAGGCCAGGCCTAATTTCTTTATGTTTATGACGTGTTTAGCATTAAAGGTATTTGACATCATGATTTCAAATAACTAAGCAATTTTATTGCTAAACACGTCAAGATCCTAAATATATTAAGCTATGTCTAAACACGTTTAGTTTGTAAATGTGTCACCAAAAACGAGACAACATTGCGTGAATTTTTGTATTTAAATGATCCACACAATTTTTATAGAAAACCACTTCCTAACGAACAGCTTTGTGCTTTATTTTGAATACTTTTGGAAAGTATAAAAAAAAAAAATAATGATCCCCCAAAACGCCTCAGAGGTTATTTTCGGCCGTCTAAAAAACAAAATAGTGTTGACTCCATCAGCCCAACTTTCGACACCACCTTTTGGACATTTCTGGATCCGCCCCTGGCAAAAACGAACAGACAGTAAACGATATAGTTTCGATCTGCTTTTGGATAAGAACATTACTACTCAGAAACCGGTCACCGTTACAACTAGCAATTTGATTAAAATATACACTGTTACCTATATATAAAACAATGTGACTAACTTATAAAGAAATTATTGTCAAGTTATATTGGACACTATATAAAATATAAACCTTATGAATATTATCCATTATGTTTTGATAGTGATTTTGTGCATTAACGGTGTTTTCTTTTCCTTCTTACTTTCATTTTTTAGGGCCGAAACACGGATTATTTCAACCAAAAAAAAGATACAATGAATATATTTGACCTACCGACATATGACCCAAGAATTTTTGCCAATTTAAGGCTGTATTTTAGACATTATGACGTGATTCATCATAATATTATATAATCAATTCTGTTATCAATCGGGTTTTTTTTTTAAACTGTACTAATATATATTAGTACAGTTTAAAAAAAACCCCGATTGATAACAGTTAAATAGTGTGCTGTGTAAAAGATATTAATTAGGCTCCCAGCGGAAGCGTGTGTCTACTGCCTTATACAGGAGTTTTTGTTTTTTTAATTTTATCTTATGTTCTTCAATATGCAGATGTGTGTATTATTGTAGTGTATCTGGATTTTTCATTAAACTTTTCTTTCATAACAATATATTCTGTATAAGCCTACTACTATATTACAATAAAAACACTTTAAAATGAGTAACTCCTGGAGAGTACTATCATGTTCCAGAGGGCATCCTTCAAATGACGGTAAAAGGCGTTAGTAGCGAACGCGTGCTGCGTCTCTATAACCCATCATGCCTCAACCGGATTTACTCTTTTCCGCTACCTTTAATTGCGGTAGTTGCTAAATACAACGGGTTCAGCCGAGGGGAGTGGCTTGTATATGGCGACGTCATGTATAATTATGCCGTCCAGCAAAAAAGATCACGCTACACTGTGTGACCAATGGGAATTATCAAGGCGAGCAGACTGAGGCTTAGCTTAGTTTTCTCTTGTGCTGCTGCTACGGACGGGTGAGGGACAATCGAGTCCATTTTCAGACGATTGGCCTAAGTAGTATGGACGTTCGTAGGTCTAGGCTCCCTCTAACTAATTAAAGACTGGGCTAGGTCGGACCAGGAGGTCTTTTCAGTCTGGGGCCTAGTCCTAGATTGTGCGTCCAGCAGCAGTCCGTCTAGGCCTGTGCATCATTTACGTGAAGTTAGGCCTATCTATGCTTATGTAGAATCTGTTGTAAGACCCTCGCCTAGGCACTGAAGAATCTGCACTGAATAGGCGCATAATAGCCTACATAACATTTATACAATACAAATATACACAACATTGGAAAGTTAATATATTTACTTAAATTACATTGGCCTATATTAATTCGGTTCCCTTTTTCTGGAATATAGCCGGCAATATTGTTTCAAAGCAGTGAACACTAAAAAAAAATCTTAACTTCAGCAGTCATGTTGTAAAAGTTGTAATTTTAATGTATTAGGCCCATTTTCTCTTGTAAGATAATTAGTTCATAGGATTAAGATTGGAAAATTCATAGACTAATTAGTACAGGGGTACGTGGCGCCAGGATTTGCCCGGGGTCTGAGGTCTTCGGGAATAATTTTTGGTTTGAAAGTCTTACTTAGT